TCATGCTATCTTACAAAGGGTGAAAAAGTATATTTCGAATCTGCGTCTGAAATGAATAGAAATTTTTCTGTCAGGCGAACGTTAAGGAACTCAATGGGTAACTCCCAGCTCCTACTGGTGGAGAACAAACTAAGATATTTTCTGATCAACCACTCAGAGGTGTTATTGCACTCTTCTGGAGCAGGTAGACTTAAACCTCTGCCTACCTGACTCAATAGTAGGGATTCTTCCACTGCACCACAAGAGCCCTTGGTAGCAAGCTAAGGCTATTGTTCTAATCAATCTATTCAGGGATGTCTTGCACACCTCTGGAACAGGTGGGACTTGAATCTGAATCTCTGGTCTCAGGGGTAGGGATTCTCCCATTGCACCACAAAAAAACCCTAGACAACAAGCTAATATTTATTATCTTTATCTGTTTCACATGTTCACATTAGCAATTCCATTTTAGGCACAACTGAGAAACTGGGCGCAAATAACATTTGACATTGCGGTATTTCCAAAGTGAAGTTGTGGTTCAAGTTTCCATCCAAATTCATTTCCAAAATCACAAATGCAAAAACTTACATTGTTTTAATTGTTTTCTTTGCCTTAAAAAATGACATTTATTAATTTCAACCTAGTGCAAATTTGGTTGTACTGCTGAAAATGGATTTAGGACAAAAAGATTAATTTTTTTTGTATGTGTGCCTAGTCCATCATCTATAAGTAACCCAATGTACATCACTGAAAACAATATTTAGAACCTAGACTGAACCATATAGTAGTTTCACTGGTGAGTACTCAAGTTTTTTTGCAATTCAATTTCTTTTTAATATTGGGAATTGAGGCCGAACCACACTGTTGTAATCTTGTGGAAATGTTTAACAGAGATGAACTTCTGATCGTATTTCTAAATGACCAATTATTTTCATCTCCATGGCATCTACTGACCCTATTCCTACCTCAGCTTATCATCTGCTGAAACCCTCAACCTTATTTTTGTTACCTGTAGATTTCAATGGACCTCTAATTGGCCTCTCACATTCTACACCCCCCCCCGTTAACTTGAGGTCAACCAAAAGTCTGCTGACCCTGTCCTAACTCACACTATTGCACTAAGTCCTGTTTACCCATTAGCCTTACTGTCACTGGCTTATATTGCTTCTATTTTAATAAGTAACACACTTTAGCAATTCTCATCCTTATTTTCAAATTCCTGTATCATTTCTCCCTTCTCCATCAATGTCATGTTATCTAGTTCCATTTCAGAGGCTGATTTAACACTGGGCTCTTGACTGTCCCTTACTTTAATTGCTTCATCAATTACGTCCTTGTTTTCAGGTGCCTGGGCTATAAGCTCTGGAATTCACTACTGACACCTGCAGATGGAATGCTGTGAACAGTTTTGGGCCCCCTTATCTAAAGGCATCGGAGGCAGTTTAGAGAAGGTTCACTCAGCTGATACTACATATAGGGGGACTATCTTATGAGAAGAGATTGAGTAGGTTGGGCCTGTATTCATGTGAATTTGCAAGAATGGCAAGTGATCTAACTGAAACATAAAGGGCTCTTAGGAGATTTCACACGGTAGACGCGGAGGGGTTGGTTCCCCTTGCGAAAGAGTTGAGTACCGGACGGTATGATCTCAGAATGAGGAGTCATGTTTAAGACAGATGAGGAGAAATTTGTTTTCTCAGACAATAGTGAATCTGTAGAATTCTTCACCACAGAGGGCTGTCAAGGTTGAGTCAGTAAGTATATTCAAGACTGAGACATACAGCTTTTTAATCAATAAGGAAATCAAGGGTCATGGTGAAACGGAAGGAAAGTACAGTTGAGGATTATCAGATCAGACATGATTTCATTGAATAACAGAGTAGACTCGATGGGCTGAAGAGCCTAATTCTACTTCTATATTATATGATATCATGGTTTTTCCTGTATAAAGACGCTCTTTCATCAAGCTTTTGACTAAGTGAACTATTATATCACCTATGTAGTTCATTTTCAAGTTTTATTTAATGAGGCCCAGTGACAGATTTTGGCATATTTGATTACTTTAAATATGCTACATAAATTCATGTTGTGTTTTAAAACTCGCCGATCAACAAGTTTGCAATTGGCAAAAGTACCTTATGTTTTGTTCTGTGAGAGTGATGACTTTTGTGGGTAAAACTGTTTTTTAAGTTATCCTGACCAAAAATTCTGTAGTGATTGCAACCAGGTTGACCTTGTTGACTACAAGGTCATTGATGGGGTTGTTAACTTGGGCTAATCAGGAAAGCCCTGGCTGACTAATATAACCGGGAGAAGGTGCATAGGGACGTGCCGAGAATTGTATCTTCCTCCATTCACTGTCACTCCACCCCAGTCTTCCACATCATTAACACTGCATGGCCTCTTGTGCTGCTTGTTCACTAGCTCGGGACACCTCAGCATCTTTCCTCCACCTGCACCACCACTAACAGCTGTACCACCCACTTTGGGCTCATTCAATCTCTCCATTTCTGTAATTCCAGGAGAAATTAGTTCACAATAGGACAGACAGAGTCAAAGTGGGTGGCGGGTGGCCTGACATTCTGCTGCTCAGCCCTGATCCTGATTCTGCCCACCCCAAGTCACTGCCTCTGAGCTGGTGTTGGAGACTGCCCTTGACTTACTGTGCCAGGACCCCTGTCTAATGGCTGTCTCTGTTTAATTGGCTGAGGACTGATGATAAACATAACAAGCTTCCTGGCTTTGAGTCTGTATGGAATAGCAAGACAGAGTAGAAGTACTGACAGATCTGGCTGTGGGGAGGTCTTAGTTTCCGAGTCTGGGGCTCAACTTCTTCAGTAAACAAGTTTTCCATCAGTGGACCACATGGTTTGGCAATTCTTTTATAAACCTCATTATGTGCTAGAAAGAGGCATCTCTAATTTGATATTGAAATAATAGTACACAAAAATCCACTCACGCACTAGACTATTCAAATAACTATAAAAGCATAATAGAAGCTTTCTAAACAATACGTAGTATTAAATAAATATTAGTAGTTTAGAATGTAAGCAGATGTTCCATTAAGTTTAAAGAAACTTGAAACCTTTTCCGTCCATTTATATATGGTCATTCAACTAAAATCAATCAATCATTTAAGTCATTAGTTGCCAAGTTGACTTACACTGTTAACTAGAAATATATAGCATTAAGAAAGCCATTGATAGAAGCTTATAGGGCACTGAAGAAGGACAATAGCAAGATATCTGGGAGAATCACTTGAGAAGTCCAGTGAGATCTTTCTCCGCATTGGGATCAACTAGCTACATTTTACAAATATGTTCCAGATGCAGAGATGAGTTTCTCTCAAGGCAGCAACAAGATGTTCACTGATGAGGATTAATGCTTGCTATCATCCTCGTGAACTGCACGTCTCAACTCACTCATATGCAGCTTCCTATCCTACCAGCTCTTGCAAACAAAGAGATGCTGAGAATTCCTGACATGAAATGCAGAGCAAATATCTGATGATTGCAATTCCCTGCTTTTCTCCTCCAGACTGCCATCCTATACACGGGACTGCTCGATTGTTGAGTTTGTGCTCACTCACTTAATGCCTACCTGGATACTCACAGTGTCTCTGCCTTGCCTTGCCTTGCCTTGTCTTGGTTCTGCAAAGCCACGTTGTGTGCAGGGACAGCCACCTAGTTCATGGATTAGACCAGGCTGCAACTCAGGGCTGCTCTCGCTTGTTCTCTTAGCACTCATTCACTTAATGCCTATCTGGATGTTCACAGCATCATCTCCTTATTTTGACTTGCCTTTCAGCACTCCACCTCCACAGCCAGAGCTTAAAGTCTCATAGCACTCTTGGATTGTTTAATGCTGACACAAAGCCAGGCAGCCTGGTATGGTTGTTAGCAGTTAGCAGTCAGCAGTCAAAGGGGTAGTCACATTGCAATGTCAATCTCATATCTGCACTGTACATCAGCCATATGCAGCAAGCATGCTGCATGAGCTTTAAGCAAACAGCCAAGTCTGAAAGTCTTAGGTCAGTAGTACTCACTAATCTCTAGGGAGACCATAAGTCAATCAGTCCCCACATTCTATTTCAAGGGCAGCCTCCAAAATAAATCCAGAGGCTGGATACAGTCAGGCACCCAATCAGGGCAACCATGTTCAGGGTGTTCATTCCTTTACAATATAGGGAGTGGGTCACAGTCAGACGTGTGGGTCCATTGTAGCCAGTTGGGGAGTCACAGGAACAGAGTTGGAGAGTTATACAGATATCAATTAGGTATTTGTTGACTCAGCAAATCGGGACTGTACTGATATGTTGCTCAATGGAATACACTTCTGTTCATCCAGGGGTTCCATTCAAGAAGCAAAGGGGAGGAGCTTTTTAGGGGGCAGTGGTGTGGGAAGGAGGGTAGAGAACTTAATGGCAGGGAGTGCAGGCAGAATACTGGGATGCTGAGGGGATTACAACAGTGAAGGGGCCAATTCAATATCTAAGGAGGGGAGATGACAAAGCCTTGGTGGGGAAGAGGTCATGCAGGAGCAGAGCCCATTGACAGAGAGAACCATGCTGGCTTCGGGGTGGATGGGACATGAACTACAGGACCTGGCATGCTCCCCTCATTTGCCTGGGGTTAGGAGGAAATGGTGAGCAGATATTGACTCAGAGAGGGGGGTACTTGAGGAGGTGCAGTGCATTTGGACAGGGACAACTAAGAGAATGGGAAAGTTGATTTTATGTGTTGGTGGGAGTTGGAGTGCTGGACAGCAACTTATAACTATATGGGGTCTTTCAGGTAGCAGACAGTGAAGCTGGAACCCACTTGCAAACTCCATATTAACCTCCTGTGTGCAGTGCAATTGCTTGACCAAATACTCCTGACCATTTCACTCAGGCTAATAGCTGAACCCACTAATTCCTGTGATGCTATAGCAATGTCTGTACACTTGGAGAGGTGGAGCTGAGTTGCCAAAGCCGTAGCCATATGTTGCATGCAATTATACAGCAGCTGCTGACTTCATACCTTGGTCCATGGAACATCATCTCGGGATAAGATTGTACCTTCAAGGTTGCATTTGCACCTGGACAGAGACTTAGACAAACAGATGATGGTCAGAATTGAACATATATATTTACAAACATGGGAATACAATAATGATGTAATTATGCCATGTAACTAATGTACCCTCAGAAGATTTTCTCTCTCTCCCTCCCATTACATCTCAGTGCAATCCCTGGGGCTGCAGTTGGGGTGAAGGTGCCTGCTCTAAATTGGAACCCATTGACCTTGGGACTTTAGTCATCTGACCTGGGGATGCCTGTGTCTAAAGGGCCCTGACATGCTGAGTATTTTCTGTCCTAAGGCAAGTTCACCCTCCATGGGCTTCCTCAGGGCTGTGAATTTCTGGCAGGATAAAGATGGAGCTGCCTCTTGATTGTCCTGGGAGCAGACCTCTGGGGGACCTATAAGTGGTGCCTACTGTCACTGCATTGTCTCCTTGTGATGAAGGCTACTTGGGGTGATGCCACTGTCCTTCGTTGCCTTGCTGATGGCGTTGGGGATGAATGGTAAGGGCGATGGCGTGTGGGTTCAATTATATATCCAGCAGACTGGATTTGCTAATTTCCTGTCACAGGTCAGCTACTACGGCATTTTCCCCCAACAACGTTCTTGCTGCTCCTGTGTCTGCCTTCTGCATTTGTATGAAGTCCTTAATAGGATCAGCACCTGACTGGGGCTGCACAGGTGCTAGGCCTCTGACAGTTTTCCGAGTGTCATTGATATGGGGCATTTATTCCTTGGCCAGCTGCAGAATGTGGCAGTGAAGTGCTAACCAGTAGGGCATCTCAACTCTAATCTGGTCAAAATACCTACCAAAGTGTCAGGATCTCAGCTGGTGGAGGGTGCAGGAGACAGCCTTACCAGTGCTTCTTCTGAGGCATCCATGGTGTCTCCTTGAATGGTGGTGGATGGATGCCTTGTGGGCCAGTCCTCTTGACCATGGCCAATAAAGACATGTTATTGCTCCTGGAAGTCACAAAAGATAGAAAGCATTGTGACTGATCATTCAAAGTGTATCAGGTGAAAATACTTGGATGCAGGAACCAATTTAAAATTTGCAATACAATGTTGGGTGCCAGGACATGGATATTTCTGCATCATCACAAGACCTATCCCAGCCTCACCAGTGAGGGACAATATCCTCTCCCTGTAGTCAACCCATTGCCCAACTGGGCCATTAAACCTTAATGTGGTCCATTTTCCCCTGTAATAAGAGAAAGGAGGGGATTGAGTGTGATGACATTGGATGGCACAATTGTTAGTGCTAGTGCAGGTGGAGCAAAGGTGCCAAGGTGTCCCAAGTGAGTGAGTAGGCAGGGCAGAGGGCAGGAAGACGTAACATTTAAGGTGTGTTAGGACAGTTGAGAGTGAGTGAGTAAAAAGGTGCTATATATGGAAGTGATAGTGGTAGAGTATAGTAGGAGACATGTGAAATAGCTGAGTCAGAGTGAATGTGAACTAGCAGAGAGAAGCTGGTGACACCTACCGTGGCAGAGTGGAGAAGTTCATTAACCTTCTTCCTATACTGCTGTGCATTTCACCAGGTGATTGAGAGCGCACTGACACAGGTAACAGTGTCTGGTGGTGTGGTCTTCTCTGGCAACCTTGGCAGAAGAGGATGGATGGTTCTCCTTGCACCACCCCATCCACAAGGACCTTGAGGTCTCTGACTGCAAAGCCAGTTGCCAAATTCCCCTTGAGTGCCATCACAGCACCCAAACTGTTAGCAGCCTTGTAAGGCAGCTCTGAATTCCAGTGCCTGTCCAAGTGCACAGTGGCATTTTCTCGAAGGCACCAGCACCAGGAATGCTGTGATATCCAGCAAGTGTTATTTTCTTCAGGTTATACTCAGTGGTAGAATAGGGCCAGCATTGGTTATGAGTGATGCTGTATTGGTACAGTAAGTAAATAATGAAGTGATTTTAGGATGCAAGAAAACCCACTAGACTTCCTGGAACAAACCTTATATGAAACTTGATGAAATTGACACTTAGTCAAAAAGTATCAGATTTAGTCCCTTGTGTCTTTTAATAAGCGATTAATGTATATACAGTCAATAAGTTTAAAGAGTTGTAGATGCCACTGATAAAACCTTAATTCTTTTGGATCACAATATTTTCAACACAATTGAAAAGCAATGGTTCTGCTTTCTGGTTTTATTTCGTTCTGGCATTGCATTAAATAGTGTTTTCTGGCCTTCTTTGTCTTTGAAGTTTTTGCCCAGTTAACAAACCAATCAAATTAAAATTTATATTGTCCACAAAGGCCTCTACAAACTGAACATGTTAGGTCTGTTCAATGACCATCATAGAAAGCCAAATTACATATGGTCAACACTTGAAGATCAATTACCAGTGCAGATCAGCTTTAGAATACAATGAATGCAGTTCATGATCTTTGAGAAACAAGTGTCAGAGACCTGTTGTTCAATAGCAGAGGCTGAAATGCTGGTTAGATAGAATCCAGCCATGTTTGACTTCAGCACAGACACGAACACACTGATTATTTGTTTCCCATATTATATCTAAAATATATGTATAGATACACCAAGCAACATGCTCTCCAGTTATCCCTCAATTAACATATAACCATCAGCTATTCTCTAGTTCCATCTGGTCTCACATATCCCGGTCAAATCCCCGTTTCCTTTTGATAAAAATAAATTAATATGCACATAAATATTGAAAGCAAACAAAACAAAAGAAGTAACATTGGGTAGAATGACAACATATGTTCCCACTTTTTTTTAGTGTTAATTAGATGTCTACACATTCTTTTTTCAGTATTTTGAACAATTTTTTAGAACTTGCTCCTTTCTTTGTTAAGCATTGAGAGACCTGACTATAACCACACAACCATTTCAAATTAGAGCTTTCTCCATTCTCTAATTTTTTTTCAAAACTGCAATATCGATCCTCAGTCTTTTGATTCACACTATTTTTTGAATGCTTGATATCTCAGACTGACTTATTATCGATGCAGCTCCACATGGGCATTGAATCCCTTCATTGATTTTTTCTAATACTTTGACTAAGAAAAATGCCACATCTACCACCCTAATAAGGGCAGAAGTTTCCACTGCAAATATTCTTTTTATTACTCTTCTAATTTTTTTAGCGTCCCAAGTAAAAGGGCAACATTTACCCACTTCACCCAAAACAAACATTATGTACCCTTCTCTACTTCACAACAGATGAGAGAGATTTACATAAGAAGCAGTACTAAACACAATACATTTAATGTTCCTGGCATCTCGTAATAATTGAAATTTCAAAGCACAATGGTCAATATTTAAGTTTTTGATGTTTTGTCCGCTGAAACAATATCTTCTGCCATGATATTTTTCATAGATATACTCAACTTTTAAGGCCTCATACTGACATCTGGCCTTGTTTGTTTGCCAAACCAATTCAAAGGTGCACTGCATCATGAAGATGGTACATACTCCTGCTATTATATGTTGGGGCAAAAGAGGTGAATGGGATGGCAGATAAGTGGGCTGCTTTGTTCTGGATGGTGTCAAACTTAAGTGTTGTTGGAGTTGTGCTCATCCACGGAAGTGGAGAGTGTTCCATTTGCTCTTCAGTATGCCTTGACAAGGGGACTGGAGAGTTTGGAGATGAATTACTCAAAGCAATATTCCTAGTCGCTGACCTGATCTTGTAGTTTGTGCATTTACATGGTTGGTCCAGTTCAATTTCTGGACATGTTGTTGGTAGGAGATTTAGTGATGGTAGTGCCATTGAACATTAAGGGGTCAGTTAGATTCTGTCTTGCTGGAGATGGTCCTTGTCTGGCATTTGTATGGTGCAAATGTTGCTTTTCACTTATTGTACTAATTTGGAATGTTGTCCAGGTTTTGCTACACACCTTTAAGGTGTCAAATCATAAACAACCATCAATAATTATCTGCCTGAACAGGATATAAGAGGAAAAGTCTTTTGACATTTTGCAGCTTGAAGCAGCAATGATATACCTTTCTTAATGTCACAAGCAAGACATTACTTTAAGTTTAATTTATATATTTTAATTTGTGTGTTAAGAAGGGGAGAAATGGTTTTAGAGATAACAAGGTGTAGAGCTGGATGAGCGCAGCAGGCCAAGCAGCATCAGAGGAGCAGGAAGGCTGATGTTTCGGGCCTAGACCCTTCTTCAGAAATGGGGGAGGGGAAGGGGGTTCTGAAATAAATAGGGAGAGAGGGGGAGGCAGATAGAAGATGGATAGAGGAGAAGATAGGTGGAGAGGAGACAGACAGGTCAGAGAGGCGGGGATGGAGCCAGTAAAGGTGAGTGTAGGTGGGGAGTTAGAGAGGAGATAGGTCAGCTTGGCCTGCTGTGCTCATCCAGCTCTACACCTTGTTATCTCAGATTCTCCAGCATCTGCAGTTCCTACTATCTCTGAGAAATGGTTTTAGTTTCTTTTTTGAGTTGCTGTTGATGCATGGCTGATAGAAGTCTGGAAGCTGTTTGGTTACGTGCATTTATAATAAGGTTTTACAACCCCTCAAAAAAACGAGGTAGAAAAAACACACAGTTGTTTTTTAATGACAAGTATTTGTGGACAGAGAGACGCAGAAAAAGCCTGGAGGGCGATGGTCTATCTGTGTCAGAGGGTGGATACTAAAGTGTTAAACTCTCTGTTGGGCAATACTGCTAGAAACTGGGTTTAAGGAACTCATGTGTTTGTCTGAAGGCAAATCAATAATGAGTTAATTTGAAGTTTGGTTTGTTTAATTTTAGATATCTCATTGAGAGATACCAGCTGAAGAAAAGCAATATAAACAGTGAATGTGCAAAATTCACTGGCTGAGGCTAGTTACAGCTGTGCTAACTTGAGTAGGTGGTGTTGCTGTGGAGATAGTAGTAAATCTTCACTGGGGCTTCGGTTTGTTAGGGTGTTGTTGAGATTAAAAGAAAGATGTGAGTGTGGATCCTTCTCTGCTGCTTGTAGTGAAACCTTTTCAAGTTTATTCTTTTCTAGTATGATGTAACATGTTTTTCTTGTCTAATAAATAATCTTATTTTTCGTGTTAAAATATACTTGCAGAATCCTGTGGATGTGTTCAAAAACTGACCTCCGCAGTTAATAATAAAAAAAATTAGGAACCGTCATGCCAGGTTTCACTTTGGGATCTGACTTATACAGTATTAACATCAACTGGGATCATAACATGACCTCCCATAACAGGGTCTATTCTTCAAATAAGCAACCCTCTTTATTGTTTTACCTATCCTTGTGTGTGATTGGTACATTCATGTCGAAGTGAAGAGTGTAACATGATCTATCCCTGATCCTCTCCTATTTATCACAAACCTGCTGATCCTGAGTACTAACACGTGAAAACACAATATCTATTTATGCACACAAATTTATTACATCCAACAATATCCACCACTGCATCTTGATTAAACCAGATTGTTTGTCGCATTTGATCCTGGCATGAATTTTAAACCATGCAATGGTGGGTAGCATGGTGGCTCAGTGGTTAGCAATGCTGCTTCACATCAACAGAGATCTGGGATCAATTCCAGGAGGGGTCAGTATGGACTCTATGGGCTGAATGGCCTGCTTCATACTGTAGGAATTACATTAGAATAGGAATTCTATGTTCCATTACTAAAACCGCTTGTTTCAATCTTGATAACACTGGAGCTGCCTCAACGCTACCAGTGTCACTCGTTGAGGCAACAGATGGCTTTTACAGCGAGCTGCACATCAACAGTCATCTGCCTGGAATTCTTGTGGTGTAATTCAGTTTGGTCCTCTGTATCCAGCACACACTTGTGTTTAGTTATCCACAGTTCAAGCATGCAACCCTGTCAGCCACTTATAATTGTTAATAGTGGAAGTGAGGATTCCAGAGCAGTGGTTCCCTAACAACACCTGCCACTCCTGATGGAGAAGAACTCCAGTGTGAGGCAACCATGTCCCAAACATGGATCAGGTCCTGGTAACAGCCAGGTAA